AGAGAAGAAAGATGAAAATCTTGATTATGCAGGTCAAGATCTACAGTAAAAAGATTTAAGAACATGTCAATTACTTCCTCAAAGAAAAAAGAAAAATTGCTTTGTTATTATTATTCTATCCAACTTACTTTTCTCTACAAAGTTTCAAATTTTTTCACTTTTTACGTTGCCAAACATTTGTTGCAAGTTCTAAGTTTTTTTCCAGTACTACATTTCTTCAAAGTAAAAAGTTTTTTCAAATATAAAAAATTATAAAGCACTGAATAACCAAGGATATCAAGAATAATGGTTAATAATTACTTTACTTTTAATGTATTTATACTGTATTTTACCGTTCTCATCCTCTGGCACCATAGAAGATATATTCTTAACAAATGCAGCGTCATCGCAACAAATAATAAAATGTACATGAGCTATCATTTAAAACCACACAAATAATTTAGTAAAAATAAAATACATCCTAAAAATAGAGGGAAAAATATAATGCTGTGTAAAAAATTGCATTGTATAAAATCTTTTCCCAACGCTATTATTTGATACATAATTTATCTAAAATTATAGGATTCTGTTTCTCTGAAACTGCGTGAAATGAAAATGAAACATTATTTGGTGAATAAATCTTAAACTTCAAAAAATGGTCGGCTAAATAGTGGTGTATCCGAATGTAAGGTTAATCGCCTGTGGTTTAATTAAATAGCTGCTGTCATTGGTTGTTAATTCCTAATTAACTAAGTATAAACTTATCAACAATTATTATTATGAAGACAACGGAGAAATGATATAAAAAGTACTATTTAAGTTATACATCTATTTTTTAGTTTGTGAATTTCTACACACACAAAGCAGTGTTCCTCAATTAACAAAGCATTGCTCATTTTATAATATTTGTGAAATGTTATCGCTCAAAAATAATTTTAAAAAAATATATTAGCATGTATTTGATAAAAAAACTCTCATTGTTTAGGAAGAATATTATCTTAATATAATACTATAGACTGTAATACTAATTTAATACTACTTGAAAAACAAATTTCTCTTTCTATAGCTATAAAACTTTAGAGAAATAAAAGATGAAAGATATAAAATGAGAAATTCAAGCGAATGAGAAATACCGCTATATATTTTTTGAGCTCCTCATCAAACTTGCTCGTTCTGGAATGTTGTTTATTCGGCTATCTGGATTGATATGTGAACAGAATTATGTCATGTGTAAAATAAGAATAATGCATAGGTCAATCTGTTTTACTTATCTGACTTATCATGGAAGTTGAAATACGAAATTTGTAATCGACAAATGCTTTCTTCACAGTCCCTGACGTTTTAATAAGACTTTACGCCATTATAAATTTGTTTCCAGCACAAATCTATCTGTAGTCTTAATATGAATATAAACATGTTATTATTAAAACCAAATTAAATAACAAAATCATAGACTTATTATATCTTCATAATGTCTTCGGACAGGAAAAATTATCAAGAATATATTATCCTTACAGTTAGAGTATGTAAAAAATAACTATTAAAACATGTATAACTTGCGATTTCGTAGAACCGATAACTATTCTTAAATGTAACTATAATCGATAAATGAAGCAAATAGAGAAAAAGAAAGATTAGAGAGAGGAATACATTTCGTTTTTGCTCGTTGATTGTATAAGCTATCTCAAACAAGAAGATGCTTTTTGTTAACGAGAGAATATATATAGATGGAAGAACATAAAAAAGTTTTTAAGGAAGTATGAAAAAGTCTGTCAATAATCAATATGAGAAATTCGAATCATACATTAATCCGTTTAAAAGCAGGTAGTAAAGGTTGAAGGATGGTTTTTCAGTAAAGCATGGAAGACTGCTAGGATTTCCGAAGTATCATAAGATAACGTAAGAATGGAAAAGTTTGAGAACTCGTGGAGCTTTTGATACAACATGATGGAATAGTTACTAAAACTTAAATAACATAAGCCAGAGAAAGTTCGGTCCGGCACCGAGAAATATTAGATTATCCGAGACTATACTTCTCAATCTAACTTGGAGTAAAGAGAGAATGGAATACAACAGATTATAATGCCGCAAGACACGGAACTTCCTTTCGTGAAATCTCTCTTCTGCTGCCCTAGTGCTTATCAGTTTTATCTCGATGATATTGTATGCATAAATATAAATAATTTCTTAATAAAATTGAAATTAACTTATACATTCTTATTACGCTAGATGTTTGCAAATCCTCTTTCATAGTACGCAAAAATATACGCTCTTCTTTATAATACGCTTATATAATATCTATTCAGTTAAATCCGCGGAGGCACGCTTAGATATACATGCTTGTGCTCCCGCATATCAAGTTTCACAAAGAGAAAAAATAAGATTATATATACTCTTCGTAAATACTATTCTTCGCAAAGTTGGCAATACAAAAATAAAACAACACGAGAGTATTACTCTGGACACGAGACAATGCAGCTTTCACGTTATTTCCTGTTCTCCACTTCGTTTATAATCATGAACATCATAAGAAGTAATATAATTAAACTCACTTATATGTATGAAGTGTATGTAAAATTACTACTACGTAAAATAGCTATTTAAAAAATATTCTCGAGACATAAAGAAAATCGATTTAAATATTTATGTATTTAACGCAAAGCAGTGAAAGTGTCCAAAAGAATTCTCGTGTCCAACTTTCCAGCGATAAAATCGCATATATAATTTTTGTTTTACATTGAAATTCTAAGAGTTGCAATAAGACTTCTATATAATATACTAGACCGTTAATGATGATATTCAAAATAAAAAATTTAAGTGATTTCGCCAAAAAACTGCACAAATTTAATATTTAAATATTGGAAAATATTAATTTTATATATAACTAAAAAATATTTTACTAAATATTCTATAAAGTTCTTATGAAAAAAAGATTAAACAAAAAGATAATGAGGATTTCATCATATTTTAGAAAAGCAAAATGTGATCACATGTATATGCAAAAAAATTAATCAAAATTTCTTTTTTACAAATTTGTTCACAAGAACTTCTTTAATAAAAAAGAAATACTAATTTTTTTCGCATATAAATCAGAATATCTGTCTTTTGCGAAGTACATCGGTAACTCTTTCCTTATAATCACACTTTGTATCACTTCTTGCTTTACAATTGCATAAGTACCTCACGTACACTAACAATCTAGTACATTATCTATATTATATAAAAGTCTGTGATATTTGTGATATCAATGTTTACTCGTCTATATCTATGATTCATACGACACATTAGATCAACCAGGACTTGATTGATAAATCATTTGCGTATTGTAACGCAATTACCTTTTTAAGTTTGAAGATTCAAGCATATAATTTGTAACTTACGTTTTCGATAATCCTTCTTTTCTGTAGTCTTTAATGTGTAATAAACGAAGAATATCGAGGTCTTAATAGAATTGTAGAGCGTCTCGATACGCGGGAGGGTTGGAACCTACGGGTGCGCAATTGTAAAATCAACCTTTCCACGTGCCGATGTAATTTTTGCAGTTTGGACAGAAGTGATGAACGCTCATGAAAGCGTTCATGCAATATGGCAGGCATGAGCAGAGGCAGCATCTGAAATGAAAGAACCCGAAATCTATCTAAGCTATTTACAAGAAAATCAAAGCTATTATAAGAAAATTGGCAACAACTAAAGTTATCTCTTATATCATATTCGATTTACATAACAAATAACGTTACCTTGCAAATGTTACCCTGCAATCTATATATATTTCTAAACAAATAAATAAATTTAAGAAAAATGAATGCATACACATAATCGCAGGAATAAAAAACTTCATTGGGGATACGACCGATATAATATCCGCGAATTCCAAGTATGTGCAAAACAAGTTTTATCACTCACCCAAGTAAGCAGAGTACGATGCAGCAAATGTGAGCACTCGGCTGATGATCCGATATTGTGGTAGTTTTAATATCGGCGCGACACGTCGGACAGGTCATTTTCACTGCATTCGGTCCTATGGCATACACTGTATGGTGTTGCATGACCCGTACTTCCGTCTGCGGCACGGAATTTAACTCGGGATTGAAACGCGGCTGCGATGTTGAGTGGCTAGAGCCGGGATAAACTGACGGCGTAGGTATCGTCGTTTGATTTGGTGGTTGATGGTCTAAAATAAGGTTTATATATAAGATTTACTCTATCCTATACACATATTGCTTTTCTTTTATCGTTGGAAAAAAATAATTGAAATCAGCAACTTATATATAAAAGAAATAAGTAAAAAATATGTACGAGCAACTGATTCTTTTTGCAGATAAGAGACATTTTCTTATTTTACTACACGAAAAAAAAATTAAGTTGCTTCAATTAAACGTCAACGTCACACGGGCTGCCACAAGTATAAATAGTTAATTCAATTGGACCAAATATTTAAATTATTAAAATAATTATCTGATGTTTTTTGTTCATTAAAATTGATGTTGCATCAATCACTGATTGATGCAACATCAACTGCTGTTGATGTGACAAAAAATCATGCTTATTGATACATCATTTTTTCCGTGTACAAGTTTTGGAATGTGAGTTTTACGTTTCAATTTAATTTTACATTATCGAAAAGCGTTATCAAATCCGCTTTGTGCATCAAGACATTACATGGCATGGGCATTTGCACTGGCGCAGTTCCCAGGGGATACGGTGTGGAGACAACTGGAGGGTGCGTAGGTGCTCCTCCTGCGTTAGCTATGGCTTCCTCATAAGACGGCGGAGCCAATGGTAGAGGAGCCGAAGGTTGGGCCGCAGTAAAACCCACGTTCTTCTCCATTTTTTCCTAAAAAAGTGACAAAATTTCAGTTAACAATAATATTACATCAAAATGCTAATATACATTAAAACACCAAAGCTATATAAATTATTTTTCTTCATAAAATTAAAAGTAATTTGAAATTTTTCATCAGTTTATAATTTGGTTCTCTTTGCCGTTGTAATTTATGAAATTTATATAAATATAAATAGCAATCTGTCTTTCTATTTATCACTAGGTAAACATGTATCATCACGCAATTGAAATTCTACGCGATATAAAAATTAACGGTGTAGCTAGATATTGAATAAACAGTTTTATAAATTTCACGATTCGTTTTCGTATAATTGTAATAAATGGAGAAATCGACCGATCCATTGTTTCTTTAGTTTCTACATGCGTCGCAAAAAGATACGCGAGGATAATATTAAATAGCATACTTTATCTCTCGCTAAACGTCTTTATGTTTGCAATAAAATGCCACGCAAGCATGTCACAAAGCTGCGCAAATTTATTAAGTATGACTTCATCCGCAAAAAACCGAATGGAATTGTCAAGCATCATGGTCGCCCATAATTTCTTCAGTGCATATGATCATATTACTTTTTTTTCCCCGCATATGTATAACTGGACATGTTAACGTTGATGCGTTTAAACGAGTTTCTCGGAAGATTTATACATAAGGAAATGCATATTTCGCGGTATTTCATCGACTTTATATACACACGTTTATGCAAGTAACACAACAATATAACAAGGTCAATCGATCGCATAAATTAAGGCTCATAACTATTGCAATTACGTTATTATTATGCCGCTAAAGAGCTTTATTATCAAAGTCAAATCTTTTCGCGCAATACTCGCGATGTTAAATATCTTCAAATATTGAGAAAATAACGTTTTTATTATTTCATTTTAAAACATAAAATCTAAACGTCAGCGAGTCTTGTCATTTAACATCAAATAAAAATTGCGCTTTAAAAAATTTCTTTGCTCAAAGATAATAATTACTGACAATTAAGATGTTCAGGAAACAGGAGGTTCCGCATTTTTTTACAAGAAGAAAGTGTGACACAATTATCTGCAGATATAAATACAGAAGACTTTATATATGCTTTGATTTCAGGATTCAGAGTGATATTACGTCAGGAGACTCTGTCTACGTAACGTAAAACGAAAAGGTCTGGGAAACGTGGAAAATTGCAGGGTGTCAAGATAAAAAGATCATCGCGGCACGTAACGAGACTCGCAATATAATATTTAAACGTAAATAACGAACGAGCACACATTTATGCGCTGGCGCGCGAATAGAAAGTTGGGCGGATGTTAAGTAACAGAGGCACGATATATATTTGCCAGCGGAGCCGTACGTAGAAAGCCTAGGATCCCGAGTGCACGCTCATGCCTCGTAATACCTTGGACAGAGAGATTACGATATCTTAGTTCTAAAGCCGATCCGTTTGATAAGCGCGAATTCATTTATGCTGCTGCGCCTGAAACATAATCTGCATTAACGTGATGCGATAAGCAATTAATAATAAGCTACATAAAGAGTATCTCAGAGAGAGTCTTCCCACCGTTTCATCTGTAAATTTTTTCGACTTTAGAAGAAATTGAACTATCGAGCAAAGTAGATATTTTAGTAATTAAAATCGATAATTTTTCATATAATGTACAATACGTATTATTAAATGATATCCATCAAATTTTAAATGCAGGCTCTCTCATATTTCTGCGTATTTACGTATAATTATTTTAGAAAAAAATTATAAATCAACAGAAAATCTTTTACAAAAGGATAATTTCTCTTTCTCAAATATCATATCGTTGCCAAGCGAAAAATGGATTATTGTTTCAATCTCCGCCGTTTCCGCGTAATTTAATGCTTCCGCTAGGAAATGGAAAACTACGTACTTCATTAGCGCACACTGAGTCAGATTTTAAAAGGAGCCTCCATGAAATTGTAATGCGTTTTTAATTGATAGGCGAAACGCGAGCTTATTATACGGAACCCGTTACAGATAAATTTCCTTTCGCTGAAATGTTTCCGCGTCGTGATTTTCCCGGAGCATCTATACGATCGCACGCTTGTTTCTGATCGGATAAGAAAGAAACAATAAACTAAGTATGTGCAATACGGATATAATAAAAGTGAATACTCTCCTTGCTTGTTCTAAAGTTGAAATAAGATAATAAAATCATATTAATATGTTATATAATTTAATTAAATTAATCTTATTTAAATTTAATTCATTTATTTTAATGCTTTTTCTTAGAAAATTCTACAAAATTTGTAACGCTATATTCTTTTACTATAAAATTTTCCTTTAAATAATTCTTTGTGAAAATTATGATATCTGTATTATATTTTGAGTATTTTATATATATTTCTTAAATTATTATTGTAAAAGAAAATTTAATAAAAGTATATGCTAATCTATTCTACATTTGTTTATATATATATAGACAAATAAAATTGATACATTTTTATAAATAATTATAAATATTATTTATAATTGATAAATATAAATTTATGTTATCATCTATGTTATATATGGAATATTATATAGGTATCTATAAAATATACCCTAAATATAATATAGAACCTATCATAAAATTTTTGCAAAAAATTATTTAAAAGAAAATTGGCAGTAAAAAGTACACGCATATTATTGGCTTTGTAGAATTTTATGAAGAAAAAAAAAACAAAATTAAATGATAAACTTAGCTTATGATTTATTAACGGTTATCTGGCTCATTACCAGTCATCAGACTTTTTAACGTGCGTCATCTGAATTTCAAATAACAAGCTTTTTCGAATTTCAAATTCTCCTTCTCATAAAATTCAACCAAATCGCTGACAACAACAAAAAACACATGTTTATGTAACAAATTGTATGCAAGAAAATTAAATTTTATGATCGGCGACAGGAATTAACCTTTGTAACTCGCTGACAGATAAAATCTCGATTACTTACGAGCATACAGATAGGTCCTTCATAAATAATTTACATACACGCTCGGCGCAGACAATACGTCGCGAGTCCGTCAAAGCTCCGTGCGAAATAGGATTCCCCGTCTCCCCGACACGATTGACGCACGCGATTAACTCCAATTAACTCGCGCGTGTCCCGATCGAAGATGATTTGAGCATCGCGGACAAGGTAAGCTGGGTGAGCGACGCGCAAAAAAGGGGAATGAAGACGGGAGACGCTTCGTCGCGCTCTCGCAGGAGTCGCGGGAAGAACGACTCCTCGGCCAGGCAGCGGCCACGGTACTCACCGTGTGTCCTACGTCCTACGGGCGAATTAAGCAACCGTCCACGTAATCTCGTCAGGCGAATTAGGTTATCGGTCCCTCGGCTCTCGGTCGGGCCGTTAAAAAAACGGCGACGGCCAGGCGACGGCCAGGCGACGGGGCACAAGTCGCACGCCACGGAAAACTGTCACTGTCACTTGAGCCACTCCAAGCCACTCGCGCGTTTGTCCCTCGCGTGCAGGCGGAGAGAACGAGAGCGAAAGGAAAACGTGCGGACTGCGGCGGAGTACGGGAAGGAAAACCGTCGGTCGCGATCAGCAGGAGTATATCGAGACGACGATCGAGCGAGACTGACCTCTCGCGAGCACTCGCGAGACTTTAAAGCTTTCCACGCGTCGGTAACGTCACGTGGGGGCACGCGTTTACCAATCGCAGCTGATAATACCGACTTAAATAGTACTGATGCCCGCCACGTTTGAATTTGTCGGAAATGCAAAAAGTCTTTCATGCGAAATCAATAAAAATAATACATATATACATGAGTTGTATATGAAATAGTATGAATTATATATATTACTTTAACATATAATATATATTAATTTTATGTAAGTCTTGTATGAGAAGAAGTTATATATTATTTTTTATCGGTAATTGCCTTAATTAACTTGACAGAAAGTATAACAAAAAATATAGCAGGATATGCATATGTATTTCTGGATACGAGTTATGTGGCTTGTTTTTAGAGCAACAATCCTGTTCTCAAGAAATTAGGAATTCAGATTGCGAACGATGACGTACAACTTGCATTGTTTCGCGTTGTTTTAAAGGAGATATTGATCATTTATATGCATATGCAATATGCATATATATTATATGCGTACATATCGTACAGTTTATTTAACATAGATATTACAAAATTAACATTATTAAAGGTCCTGTATTCTCGGCCTTCTGGTCGTCCTTGCTTTTTGTTCCGTTGTTTGTAACGGTGACGATATCAAGCCGATCAAAGTGCAATCTGCTTCGAGAAGAGTTATATCCGTCGCGGCACCTAAGAACTTGGAGGAAAGCTCCAAGTCTTTTACTCTTAACCGAACCCTTGATCCTCTCACATAGTATCTGAAATAAAGAACAAAATTAATGAATAATATTAAAGATAGCATTAGCCTTTGAAATACAATAAATATCATTGAACAAGATGTTAGGCTTGTTTATTTTGGCTAAACTTCATGCACAGTTCATCTTTTCTCTTTTTCTCTTCAACGTGAAAAGAAAAAGAGGAAAGATGAACTGTGCAAGGAGTTCAGTTAAAATAAACGGGCCTATAGTTTGAAAAGGAACGGATTCAGGCACACGTACTGTCCATTCTTGATAGGTTTCTGACAAACGCAGTGAAACTTCCATCCGAAATCAATGTACAAGTCATTGCCGACCACGTGAAATATCTCACCAGTTACAACCTTCCCTTCGGGGTCCCCCAGCTGGAAAGCAAAATTATGTATTTAATAAAGAGCAGTTGACAAATGTCCCGATAACTGTATGCACTGTGAGACAGAGATATTTACGTCGACCAGCTTGGAGTTGCGAATCAAGGAAGCGAACGTCTGCGGCGTTTCTGGCTTTTTATCGTCAATGTGCGAGAACTTCTCGTAACTTTGCGCGAAGCCGCTCAGCTTCACCTCGGACGTAGATGCTTCTGCGTTCTCTTTCGTCTGTGTTACAGCCTCCTTCTCGGCGCCGGGCTCCACGGACGGATGCGAATCGTTACCTTGTCCTTCCGAATCTTTATTCGTGCTGAAACATCTCGTGGACGAGGAATTCACTCTCGGGACAACGAGAGATCGCAAATGCATTAACGCTTTCTCGAGGCGGTGTATCTTGTTCATGATGACAACAAAATTCTCGTTTAGTATCGTCCAGTATCCCACTCGCTCGTCACCGTCGGTGACTTTTAGGTTATAGCGACATCGAGTGATCGAGGTTATGTAAAAACATGCGCTTCTGCTGCTATTTCGGAGGAGTCGTCGTGATTAAAGAATTAACTTCAATTAATTTAGGATTGAATTAGAATTGGGGAGAATTCTTACTCAACGGTAAATGCTATTAAAAATATCTGAAGAAAAATGATTCGTTTAAATTATTATTTGTAACGTTGTTAATCTCCTTTCTGATAATGAAGAAGGTTATGTTGCAATGTTGAATAATTTGAATTCTATTATTATTTGATGTTCCAGATTATATATTCTAAAGAAAGACTGAAGCGATAATGTTGGCGCCTTCAGCAGTGTTAAATATTATAAGCAGGAACATTTCTACATCAACCCCTGTGAACCACATAATTAAATTAACCCGGTTGAGAGTGGTGGACAACAGCGAGATAGGAAAGCTAGCTATGATGGAGGGTAAACCACCGCGATGCATACACGTCTACAATAAATATGGGATTGGTTTTATTGGTGAGACAAAAAATGAATGATTATATGGAAAATATTCCTGGTTTTATAGATTCATTTAAATAAATTTATTTGAACGTATAAATTTGTTTGAACGTTGCTGTACAAATTATTCAGGAGACAGAATTTTAGTCGCGATTAGAGGCGAAAAGAAAAAGGGCATACTGGTTGGATTGAAGCAGAAACAGGCGCCGAAAGTTCCCAAGTTTGACAGCAACAATCTGGTGCTCATAGACGACAACGGGACACCTCTAGGTACAAGAATACAGGTACCCATTCCACATATACTCCGAACGAAAATGAAGGAGAAGACCCACACCAAAGGCGCAGATTATACTAAGCTAATAGCAATTGCATCCAGATTCGTGTAGTCTCACTATTGTAATATAGAAATGCATCAAATATATACATGTTTTAGTAAAATGTTAACATTGTAATTTAGTGTAAAATTCCTTCTACAAATCATAATAATATTTGTAATACAGAAGCGCACGCGTATCGCCGTTACATATCTAAATTTTTACAATTTTATTATATAATTAATATTAAATAATATTACAATTCTCGAACCAATTTTACATATGTATATATGTGTTCTTTGAGATTTTGTGTGTGTGATGTACAGAGTCTAAGTTTCATGCATTTTAGTACAGTTATTGGCCGCTCGGTGCCTATCATCTTGTATTTCAGCGATTATTTAAGTTAATTATAAAAGTTATATTTATATTACAAGATTTGATATTTTTGTCAAAAATTTTGCAAATAATTGCATAACTTAATTTTTCAATGTTAATTAGAATGTATTATTTAGTTGCGCTTTTTACTATTAGTCCCATCTCGAAAAAAATAAAATTTATAGTGGCAAATGCCTCTCTAGTTCTCGATAGCAGTTGTTTTCGATATGATTCTTATATAAGAATAGGGCATTGATTAGTACTTCGATGGTCTGATACTGGTCAGGGAAGCATCTTTACTAATTCCTACCATCTTATTTCTAATTTCATTACCACATGATTCAATTTCACTCATTTTCTCACTCACAATCAGTCATGTCCTACACTCCTTCACTCACTCATACTACATCACTCACTCACATACACAGTCATACATATAATATTAAATCAATCATGCATTTAAGAATTTGAATTGACTGTCATTTATATAAGTCAATTCAATAGGTCAGCTAAAGTGCAAATGCATATAAAACTAACTATAAAACTAAGTTGTAAATATATGTATATAACTCTCCCTTCGGGAGTTTAAATGTTGCAAGGATATCGGGCAAATATTCATCCATGACATCCCAAAAAAATTAACACCATGACATCAGTATTATAATTTCCCATGGCACAACTAGTCATTATATGCACTGTCAGAGATGACGCATGTACGCATATAAAAATTACATGATTGAGAAGGAAATTGTAATATTATAATATGTTACTGTTACTTAGTTTGTGTTTGGTAGGATCCTACTCTAATAACTTACTCTAATAACTTACTCTAAGAATATAAATAGTATATACTTATAGTGTACTTATAGTGTATATAATGTACAGTCTAATCTAATTACATTAACAGATAATAATCAGGGGAGTGGTTTACGCTTAAAGTTTATTACACGTATACTGAACCAGTAACGTTGACCACCTCTTTTTTACAAAATTTAAGCTATGTCTTTATTTTTTTAACATTAGTTACAATAAACGGGGAACATTGTAATAAATTTAAGAAATTAGAAACGTTCAAAAACTGTCCGAAAATAGATACGACATCAAAAAGTGAATCAACCAAGTGCTTGATTATTATCAACTTATAACTAGTGCTAAATGAGATAATGCTTCTTCATCAGATTATAAAGCAATTAAGGTTTAGAATTACAAAGAAAATTTATCATAGAATTATCATCAATATTATTATATTAGAAAGATGGTTAGATCATTTTTAAGTTGACGTAAGACTTCCAAATAAACTGTTCTGCGCAGTAACGTATGTATAGTCATCCGTTGCATGCCCTTTTAAGTATGACTAATGTTATTTGTATTTAAGCTATCGCTTTAAAAAACTGTGTGCGATAAAGGAAAGTAATTTTTAGGTAACACTAAGTGTTGTAGATTTTGCCATTGGTATCGTTATTGGTTCTCGTTGTGATTTGTGAAATACCTAACAGAAAATTCCAGGCAGTGATTTTCAACTTGATCATATAATTTCGACGTCTTTACTTCTCGTATGTATACTTATCTATGGATGTGAAAATTTTTCGATCACTAACATACATATAAATAAATAATAAATATATATCTTATAATAATTAACGCAGGATTAAATTTATGATTTATTATTGCATATTATGTTCTAAATACGAATGAGCATATTTATAGTGTATATAATATACAGTCTAATCTAATTACATTAACAGATAATAGAGTCAGGGGAGTGGCTTATTACGCTTGAAGTTTATTACACGTATACTGAACCAGTAACGTAATGCAATAATATATTATTGCCACGAAACAAGATTTTTTTTACAGTTATTACTCGATGGATAATCAAACGGATCGATAATCAACCCGGATGATAATAAAATTACAATTTATTCTAATTAAAATATAATTGAATATTATCATTAGGCTCTAAAACATATGTATATGTATATATGTTTACGAAATAACAGGATAATAATAAATCCCAAGATTAGTAATTATAAGTTTTAATTATATAAATTGAACAATATTGTATCGATTGTCATTGTACTAATTGCGGATTAATGAGCCCTAAAAAAAAACTTTAATCCACAAATTCGTTTCTTGTTGGACATCACTGACGCGGGTACGTATCACGCAGCATACGTGAAATATCGAACGCATGACGCGTTACGTAGATACAGTTTCCCTTCTATATTCTGCATGTATCGAATTTTGACAGCACTGACGTACGACGCCGAGTTGTCGAGTTTCTCGCAGTTCCTCGAGACCTCGAGTGCTGTCACGTTCGAGGGACGCTATGTGTACTGCGACGCCTTATAATTATGTGTTGTATATATAATAATACGTAAAAATTCAACGTTGTTATCACCTTTGATAAGATGACGCTTTGATCGATGACGTGTTATCAAGCAGATAACAACCTCGCTGTTACTGTCTGTGCTCCACTGTGCTCCCGGAAATTATCATTCGTGAAATGTGTGACAGCTCCCCGTAAGTACATTCTTTGCATACAATTATTGTACATTGTTGTACATCCTTATCGCGCATATAATAGCACCGTCTATATTTTTTTTACATTCGCATTCCGAGCGATAAGGATGTGGTAATTAAACGGACAAGCGTTAGTCTATTTATGTAAATTGCAAATCCGCTGTCTTACGTCTTTTTTGGCGTCGTGCGCTTGGCAAAGATCTTCAAAGGTCTATAGGCATACGCAAGCAAGTTTAGAATTAAACTGAATGTAAATAAATCCCAGGCACATATTTCCGTTCAAATTTCATGTCCAAGTAAGCACAGAAATATCATGTAAATTTGAAATAAAACCTATAGACAATCAAGGTTAAGGTATAGGCTTTGTTCTTGTCATAAATAAATTCTTCGTACATAGAATAGAAACTTCTCACATAATTATATGTATAGTTTCTTACACAATTCCCAGTATTCGATGTGTTATCAAACTGTATCTATTATCTTATCTTTAAGAACTGCTATCTATCTTTGATTGAGAGTAATCTTTGTAGTGTTATACACTGGTAATTAATAAAATTAATAGTAAATTGAGGTCAAATTAATGATAATTATTAAAGTTGTAAATATAATAATCGTGACCTCTCTCTTGAATATTATATCATGCTATACACTTTAGCTTGACTCACCTTATAAGTAATAAATTATGTTTGTTTAGGTAAAATTTGCTATGACAACAGAGGTGGGACTCTATACATAAGAAAGAAACACTACATGGTACCTTTCTGTATGGTATCGCAAAATATGCGAATTATAGAGATATTCCCATAATTTTGATGACCAAGGCTGTATAGCTTATTTGTGAGTTATGCTGCAAGTTGAAGTCGACACTTCTTGCATCAATTCTAATAACTTATTCAGAAGGCTTTGTATATTTTCAATGGCAAAGTGGTGTACACAGTATTTATAGTCTACAATATTTGTAGATATTTCAACACGACCCACTGATAATTTGTTGAAAGTATTTTCCATCAAGTTAAAATCAAAATGGCTAGTGGATGGAAAATTTTTGGCTTGTTGATGTACAAGAATTTGATAGTGCGCAAAAGGCACTGGCGTTCGGCGATATTCCTACAAGCTTTAGTACCCATTGTATTATTCGCGTTACTTCAAGCTTTGCGAGATTTTAGTGTTCAACCTCCAGTTGTGGTGAACCAGAGCACGTACTATCCTATAAATACGCAAGACGAGTTGATGAGGAAACTTGATAATGATTTACATAAAGTGTATTATGTACCAAAAAATCCATATACGGAGAAGATCATGGAGTCTGTCAGATATTGTCTTGTACTGCTGCCTAAAAGTAAGTATTACTTGAAATGGTGATTGAGGAATGTATGTAGTGTCTTTTAACAGCTTAAATAACATTAACGTTAATTATATTCTCTTTATTTTATAGGTATGGAAGGTTTTGTTAATGAGACTGAAATGATAAATACTTATACACGTTCTCAGGCACAAAATCCAATAGTTTCTGTGGTGGCAGTTGTTTTTGAACAATATAACGAACCCGCCATAAAATATAAAATAAGACATTCGTGGGAGATTCCAAATGACTTGTACCAAAGCGTGTCACATGGTGAACATATAAGTTCGTCACCTACGGTATATTTCGATATGATTCCATTTACGCAAGTTCAAATATGTTTAGATGAAGTACTCATAAAGCAAGCAGCACCAGATTCTAACGTAAAGGTATTATAAATTTTTTAAAAAATATATGAGTATATTTTAATAATGAATAATTTATCATAAAGCTGTTTATGAAAAAATATACATATATGTTATATGTCGAGACAGATAACTGGATAACATATCACTGTAATCTGGGATTATTTTTTATCACTTTTGATGCATGTATTTTTCAGATGTCAATACAAAGAATGCCTTATCCACCTTATGTTAAAATAGATGAGGCTGATGTGATGTTACGTAAAGGAATTTCTCAGTTCGTAGTTCTGGTATTTGTGATTCCGCTTTGCATAGAAGCCAGCTATGCAACAAAAGAGAAGTTTATTGGCGTAAATGTTAGTACAGTATTATTTCTTTCTACTTTTCGTACATTCTTAATCACTGAAAAATATTTATCAATTTTGTTGTTTTCAGGTCTTAATGGCAATGAATGGAGTCAAACTGGCTTATAATTTATTTAGCTGGTTAATTACAGGGATATTATTCAGCACTATTTATGTAGTGCCAACAATCATATTATTTAAAAATACTTTTTCTGCAAATGTCGAGGCCTATTTGCAATATGGAAATGGGTTTATATTTTGGATCTTATTTACCACAGTTGTTACTCATCTTATAACATTTGGCATGCATATTGCAGCATATTTTTCAAAACGTAAATATCGTTTTATTATATAAAATAAATATTTAAATGCATAAATTATATTCTTTATATCTCTTTATAGCACGATTTGTCACAACTGCAATAGCTATTATTTACACGGCAGTAAATTCACTTTATATACACCTGACAAGAGAAGAAATTTTTGGAGTTACACCATATTTTGGCATAATATTTCCAAATATTATGCTTCATATACTTTTTGACGAAACAAATGCTCATGAAAGCAAATGTAAGTAGTAATTTTCAACTTATTTATGTTAATTAGTTATATTAGTAACTTATTAGAGAAATTTTAAAGAGAGGATTATGTATGCATGTGTTGTCTCGCTAACCATTTTTTTTTCTTTTAGTGATTGGTATTCAGTGGAGTAATTTTTTTATATCTGGAAGAATAGAATACGGTATCTTAGGAAGTCCAGGTTTTATATTTCTCTTTTCAATTTTGGGTGCTGTGATACATTTTACACTTGCAATATATATAAATGCTGTCCTTCCCGGTAAATATGGAGTCCGACAGAATCCATTATATTTTTTGAAGGTAAGAAAAAATATGAAAGAAATAGTATGAACGAAAAATATACGTATATATGAGACAGATATTGATGTTTTTTATGCTTTTGTATTTTAGTGTATTAAGAAAAATAAAATAGCTCTCGATGAAGAAGCTGGTGAATTTGATTATGATAAGGTTAACGAAGACTTCGAGCCAGTATTAGGTAATGCGCTTACACCCGGAATACAAATACGTGATGTTAAAAAATCGTACACAACAAGTTGGTTACGAAAGTCTGTAAGTTTAAACGTGCATAAAAGACGACTATTTTAAATAAATAAGTTTACATAAATAGATGATTATGAATATTTTTGCTATATTTCAATACCGTTACATTATTACATTCCAGAAAGTCCATGCGTTAAGAGGAGTATCTGTGGACTTTTACAAAGGACAAATTACTGCTCTACTTGGACACAATGGAGCAGGCAAAACTACGCTTATGTCTATATTAACAGGTATTACATTTATGTCATGAGATGGTTTTTAACGAAAATGTTATTTTGTGGGAAATACTCATTGTATTTGTGTTCAATAGGTGTGACAAGCGAAACGGAAGGGAAAGTCTTCATAAACGATAGAAATTTAAAAAAGCACTTGAGCAGTATTAGAAATGATTTAGGTCTATGTCCTCAAGAAAATATGGTTTTCCCAGATTTGAATGTATTTGAACAAATAGAATTCTTTGGCTTGGTGAGGATAATAATAATTTTTGTAGAATAAAAGCAATCGTATCAATAATATATTAGTTGTATGTAATTTTTATGTTATGGCAACAGCTAAAAGCTAAAAATAAAACCAGAAACGAAGTCAAGGAGGATGTTAATATTTTGCTTTCTAAGTTGAAACTTTCCGAAAAGAAAGATTTTCTACCTAGCAAACTTTCTGGTGGTCAACAAAGAAGACTATGTCTCGGAATGGCACTTATTGGCGATGCTAGCGTAAGTTCTGAAATACAGATATAATGAATGATGTATTATACGAATATTATATTGATCTCAAAATAAATTTATATTTAGATCATAATTTTGGATGAGCCAACGTCGGGAATGGACCCTGAAACCAGAAGAGATACATGGGATATTATATTGGTAAGCAAATTTAATTTAATTTTTTTTATATTCATATATTTAACGGTGTGTCGCATATTTTATATACATATTAATAATTTTTTGCAGAAACTTAGAGGAGAGAAAACAATATTAATTAGTACGCATAATATGGAAGAGGCTGATATACTTGGTGATAGAATTGCGATAATGCATGCAGGTCGTCTTAGAAGTTATGGCACTGGAATGTTTTTGAAGAAACAGTATGGTATGTTATTATATGTTATTATTGTGTTTACTGATATTTAAACAAAATATATAATTTAGATAATTGTTTTGTAAATTATCATTTTTTTGCTTTAGGTCATGGGCATATAGAAGTTACATTGTCGACAAAGTCTTGGTGCATTCCTGAAAAAGTCATATGTAAATTTGATTCAAGAACGCAAGAGCTTAGTGTTGATAGTGAAAAAATTGTTTTAAATGTGCCATATACTGATTCTTTACCACAATCACTGGACAAAGTAGAAAATGAAAAGAACAAATTAGGAGTTACTGGAATAAGCGTGTCATTGATTACTTTGGAACAAGTATTTTTGAAGTGTGTATTTATTAAAATGTGTTTTGTATCATTATTTTATTACTATTTTCTTACTACTTTACTATTTGTTCTAGGATTGTGAACAAAGAAGATAATGGGAAACACCTCAATGAATTATTTACATCACCATTACCGAAAGTTACAGGCAGTGAGCTATGCATGCAATCAATATGGGCATTGCTTTGCAAGAAATTCACATATACGAGAAAGAATCTAACCACTTTTCTGCAATATGTAAATTTCTCCTTAATTGCTTTACTAATATAAAGATTATCATGTTTTGCATCATATTCTATTTTTATAAAACTTTGAAAATCGAGATTTTCTTCTATTAACATGTCTTTAACATTTTCAGCTAATTCTTCCTATCTTCTCGGTGGTTATAATGGCCTTAACTTACAATCTACCAAGCGATTCCACAGATATTGTTCCATTGAAGCTTGATATGTACAGAAATCCCAAAGTTTTATACTCGTCGAACATGGAACTTATAAGTTCAAAATATAGAGATGTTGTTCAGAAGTTCGGCGAAGCAGAGCGTGTAACTCCGGATATAAGTGTGGCAAGCGGTAAGTGCGATTATGTTATTATGTCATTTCATATTAAGCACAGTAATAAATTTGTCTGAACGATATTTTCTTTATCCATTATTCCTTTAGCTCTTCTGAATTCTTCTATGAAGAATATTGTGGAATATCGGAATAATCTTATCGTATCCGCCGAATTTAATGCCACTGAAACTAACACAACATGGGCTAACGGTTTTTATTCCGGCTTAGCACTTCACAGCGTGCCGTTAACAGTGAATCTCTTGAGTAATTCGTTCATCAAAGCTTTCGCTGGCGATGAATATTCGATTGTTGCATCTAGGCAACAATTACCGAATACACTATTATCGACCAAAATAGAAGTGCCGGAATTAGATGCGTTCTCGCGTGTCTCGATATTCTGTTCGTTCTTCTTTATTATTGTGGCACTTTTTGCAACGCATCCTTACGAAGAAACAACGACGAAAGTTAAACAACTTCAACGTATGACCGGTGTCACATCGGTATCATACTGGGGTACAATGTTTGCTTTTGATTTTCTGATATTTACGATAATTGTATTGCTAGTTACTTTAGCATTCTACATCATGGATATTATTCTTGGTCTTCGTCTATATTATGGAACAGAAATACGTAAGTCTTTATTTTAAATTATATTTAATATCTATTAATTAATATTATATTTTAATCACTTATACAAATTTTTTTCTTTTACAGTGTGCACGATATTGATTCTGGAGTTGTTTGGTATTAACGTGTTACTTTTTGTATATCTATTTAGTTTTATGAATAAATCAAGGAGTACTGTAATAACCATTTTGGCTCTCGCACCATTCGGTCTTGGTAAGCTTATAATATTTCGTAAAGATATTAAAAATGTTAATGAATATATTAAATAAAATAAATTCAATGCTCTCTTTAAAAATGCCACTAAATTATTATAAAGAGGAATAAACCTGAAAAATTATTTCAGTTGTAATACAGTATATTCTACACGGAGTAATACATAGTTTTGATTGGCTTAATTGGCTACACATTCTACAAAAGAGACTCTTCCGTCTAATTCCTTACGTAAGTTTGTTCCATGGTCAAGTATCTTTTTTCACCATAGCAGTACAAAATGCAAGGTGTCGTCGTCTACCAAATCGACTTCGCGATGTAGTTTGTCTTGCGTATCGCGATCCTTGTTGTGGTAAGATTATGCAATATTTACATCAAATGTAATTTTAAGTTCTTACGATGGAATTTATAATTAACTTCATGAAATAATTCTTTTCAGGTATGGATTGTGCAGATGGAATGTGCAAAAATCAACTTCCTTACTTCAAAAACTTTACAGATGATATGAATTTTGAAGAAAGTATACTATATCTAGCTATGACACCAATTTTGTATTTTGCGCTATTAATCGCATTGGAAGAAAAATTATTTTCAAAATTATTCAAAAAGATGGTCGGTACAAAATTAAGAAAGGGACAAGACATAATGGATGATCAAGTAAAGAAAGAGAAACTCGCAGTAGCGATAGAAATTAATAAAATTAACAGCCAAGGTAAAACAATTTTTAGTATCCCAAGAAATGATATATAAAAATTAAACATGCATAAATAATTGAATTTACGAACTTTATATAAAATATAACGAACTTATATAAAGTATAATAATGCATAATTGTATATGACTTTATGTACAGGTGATACTATGAAAGAACAATTAAAACCAGATATTACAGAGACAACTAATATTGAACTACAAAATAATGAATTACAACGTCCAATAAGTGAAGGTAACAGTCTCTTCTTAGTGTATGAATTGAGCAAATACTATGGGAAGGTAATGGCCGTGAAAGAAATCAGTTTTCGAGTGAAACCACGGGAATGTTTCGGATTGCTCGGCGTAAATGGCGCTGGAAAGAGTACAACTTTCAGGATGCTAACTGGAGAAGAAGCGTCTAATAGTGGCATAATGTACTTAAAGCAAGCGGAAATCCACTCAGACAGGACAAAGGTAATAACTTACATAGCGTTTTAATTTGTTTAGCAGTATATTGTTTACGATATAGAGTTTTTTCTTGTAGTATCTTTCTGAGATGGGATATTGTCCACAAACTGATGCTTTAATACCCTCTTTGAACGCTTTTGATCATTTACGACTGTTCGCTTGTCTTCGCGGTATACCAAAGTCCAACGTAGAGTTGGAAGTTAATAAATGGATTAATAGACTGAGTAAGTAAAGTGCGATAATAAATGCAGAATTAAAAAAAAAAGTACAGATGTAAAAATAGTGCATGTGATGAATATGAATATACGAACATGTTACAGATTTAACTGCCTGCATGAAACAGCCAAGCGGTACTTACAGCGGTGGTAATAAGAGACGCTTAAACATCGCGATGGCCCTCATCGGCAATCCCACTCTTGTTCTCTTGGACGAGCCCACAACTGGTGTCGATCCTGCAGCTAGAAGATCGCTTTGGAATACTTTGCAATCGTGTCAGGCATCAGGGCAAGCCATTATACTCACGTCTCACAGGTATTTTTTAGAGTACAAGTACTTATCTGAAATAAAAAATATCTGCATTAAGATTTTATTTAATATAATTCATTTTATTGAGTGGAATATTAAAACTACGTTGTCCAACAGCATGGAAGAGTGTGAAGCACTTTGTAATCGACTAGTCATTATGGTGAAGGGTGAATTAGTCTGCATTGGCGCAAGTCAAGAATTGAAGCAACGATTTGGAGCGGGTTATGATATTCACATAAAATTAAATCCAAACCGAACGGACGAGGATGTTAACAATATTAAGAATGTTATTGAGTCTACTCTAACGTGTGATATTAGGGATGAAAATTTGGTAATGATTGTATTTTGCTTAGAAGATCTGCAACGATTATAATTGCTTTATTTTTTATTCTTTCATCTTACTATTAATTTCTATTCATATTTTTACAGGGTTTTCTTGCCTATCACGTAACTGATTGTAATACAAAATGGGTGGAAATGTATGATACAATGAAGAGTCTAAAGCAAAGCTACAGCTGTATTGAGGATTATGCCGTTCTATCTGCAACTTTGGAGCAACTCTTTATTCAGTTTGCAAGAGGAGCTGAAATGATTGAGTCTGAGTCTCTAACTAGTCAACAAGATATAGTATAAATTGAATGCATCTTATTGGATGCAGAAATATACTTAAATATACTAAATGGATGGAAATCGAAATAACGTTAATTTATATTATAAGTTGTAAATGTTGTAAACTTTAATTAATTATATCATAATCTTGCTTGATAAAATTATTAATACACATATTAATACGCATTATATTTAACTTAATGTCAATCGTATCCTTATTATAAACTGCTTTTAAATTGTTGCAACAAAAATGTTTTATTATAATAATACGTATTTTTTTATACGTAAATATTGTAATTTTGTGTAAAAATAATATTTAATGTATATATACATGTAAAATGATTCACAATATATATGTCACACATTAATACACCATTAAATTTTATTCAAAGATACAACATATCTCAAAATTAATATATAATATATATTAAGCGCATAAACAATAATGCGCGACACATATCGCAGTTAAGTTCTCAATTATACAGATGTCATATCACGTGTATATTTGACGGGCATATATTTCTTAAAGTAATGTAATAACGTAAAAGACATTTGAACGTTAAAATTGCTGGTATATAGAACCGACTTTAAAAAAAGAAAAAAATTAGAGAATCGGCATTTTTTATAAATAAAAGTCACTTTATATAAATAAGAAAAATTGCATGAATGATGTATCGTTATATACACAAGACGGATAAACGGAAAATGGTATGCATGCCTGCGTGTGGTATGCACATAGATGATCCTCGCCAATCTGCTGCCTAATATTGATAGCCACCGCTTGAACTTGTTTGGTATGAACTCGGTCCTTGATACGCGCTTCCTCCATGGCCACTATAGCCACCTCCTAAGATAATAGGATAATTTGATAAGCAGTAGATCATGCATAAAACGTTAATATGCACGATTATAAACGTTCGTTTGATTCGGGATCCTATGACACACCTCCGCTAGGATATCCACTGCCTCCACCGTGTGAATATCCTCCACCGCCACCATCCTGATTCTCTCCCCTAGCTTCGGCAGCAAGTGCCAATTCAACACCTCGTTGAATTTCCGGCGGAATCGGAGGCGGTGTTGGTAAGTGAGCGCCTTGAGGATGAAAGCCATACTCGTCCGCCGTATACGTGATCGAGTATTGCATACCGTCGGTCCCGGTATAAGAAAAGGATCCGCTCACCGATTCGGATTCTCCTGCAATACCGAGACGCACTCACGTTTTGCAATGTCCTTACTGCTACCAAACGCATTACGTTGTGACGCGATACTTCCATAATTTCAAAAGCGACCATTGTTTAGCTATCGCTCGTTAAAAAATCGAATCGTAATGGCGTTCGAAACCGAAATACACCCAGTCGAGTAATCAAATAATTAATAATTTAATTAAGAAATAAAAATGTGCAATCTCCTGCCTTGCTTATGACCCGTTTCTTGCACGGAAATTCCATTTCCGGCTTCATAGCTGTATTGATAGTTTCCGTCACCAGCGTTCTCGTTACTATAAGAAAGGATGGGTATCTTCTCTTGACCGCCATGCCCACCACCCAGTCCGTCGCCTAAAGTACGAAATAAAATGTGAAAAGTCACATAGCTAAACTACACTTAAAAAAAACTTTACTAGTTTTCGAGGAAAGTTGATGCAATATTTCTAAAAAAAAATAGTTAACTTTTGAATATTTCAGTCGTATAATAATCGTAATAAAAATTTGAGTTTTGAAGAGACACATGGAATAACATATGAGACAAAGTAACTACTTTCTTCTCTTGTTCAGTAATTATAAATTCGTTCAAACTTACCACTATAAGCACTACCACCACCTCCGAACTGACCAAAACCGCCTGATCCACCGTGGCCACTAGGACCGCCAAAACCACTGGGACCACTTGGACCACCAGGACCTGGACCGACCGGGCCACTATATTTAACGGGTTCACCTCCACCATGTCCTGGAGATGGAGGATGAATTAATTCCGCCCCACCCGCACTTCCGGCACTACTCGGCGGAAGATAAGAAGTGTCGAATCTTGCGGCATAGCACGTACCAATGATGGCCAGCAGCGCAATGGCGAGCTGTTGAAACAATTCGAATTATATTAAACTCAGCAATCCAGGAGATGCGAGATTCATCCCAGTCTTCGGCGACCGGAAGTATAGAGAAATCTAACAATTTGCGCGCGACTCGTACCGATCTCATCTCGCTGGTTGTGTGTATATGCTCGTCGATCAAATCCGAGCGATGTTATTTTGTCACTCAAATCGTATATCGTATATACGTCGCCAAACCGATGACGATAATTGATCTGCACGTATCCAGATCGGATCCAGCATACTTATATACCGATCCCGCGCAAGGATCGTCTTCCTCCCACCCGCCAGTGAGCAACCGCGGATGGCATCGCGGCTGGAGATAACCCGGTGATGCGTTCCTCGAAGATTTGCCAACGAATTCTCTTTGACGAGAGGTGCCGAGAGGAGAGGAAAAGAGAAGAAGAGATCTTAGAGCTGCCGGATGAAGACGCGCACGGTGGGAGAGCTATCGGAGGGGGCGGCGATGGCGGAGGAGACCTCTGTCGAGATAAACCTCGTCGAGCTAGGGGTAGTTGCGCAATACCAGATTGATACAGATCGGCAGGCATCTCCGAATGGATCTGAAGGTCGATCAATGGGATCGGCATGAAAGCGAAGCGATAGGGTCGAGGCAACGGGTTGTAAAAGCAAAGCAAGTTAAACAGTACTTTGGCCGCTTAAAATACATTTCGTTATAAGATTATTGATTAACCAACGCTGAAACAATTCAATATTTGACATGAAATAGACTTTGCAATCTGACCGTCGGAATCTCCCCAAGTTTCTCAAGTTAAACAAAAGATTCTATTTGGTTCATTCTCGGTGCACGTCTTGAGGACGAGGAGGCAAGCGGTGAGAAAGCGTGGAAAAGCAGCCGAGTCGATGACGCGGCCGGCATGCAGTCGCCGCGCATTTCTCCCTTGTAATTATATCGGCTCTTTCAACGCGGGAATTATACCCGCGGGGTCGCGGCGTCGTCATTATCGTCGCCGTCGCCGGCGCGGCGACGCCGCGCCGCGGCTTACGGAGAGCAATGCGCGCTCCGCAATCGAACGGGCTCGTTGCGCAATCATGCGTTGAGAGCATCTCCGGAGCGCATCGGCCGATACGTGCGTACGTGTACGCGTCTTCACGTGTGAGCTAGGTCGGGAAATGGGTGCCTGGACAACCCAGGGATGATCTTCTGCGCGGAACGCGACTCTAAACGTGCCCACGTGTGACGTAAAGTTTATCTTTCTCGCTGGTTGCAGCATCAAGAGTTATTAATGAGAGCTATTATCCTCGTCAAGAACTCGCACGCGTTTTTATTTAGGCCATCATATATCGAATAATTGTACGGCTGAGAATCAGATCCGGTTAGCCGAAGATTCGACGATTACGTAAGACACGAGTTGTAAAAGAGACTAATCCGCGCGGGACCATCGAGTTCGAGGCTCGCAACCGCGATCGCGCGAGAATATTACGCATCCATATAATTGCGCGATTCCAACGTGGCTCGGTGCCGTAAACAGTTCCATAAAATGGAACTGCGCGCGTAAACCGAAGCGCGCATTTGAAGTCGTCAAGGTATTGCCGATCGGCATGCACGTAACTCGCCGGTTAACGATCCACCTTGGGTCACCGTACTCACGCTTCGCCGTAGACGAAGCGATGATCGCATATATCCCAATAGGCATCCCGCTCGTCTCGCAATGGAGAGAAAGATAGCGTACGTACGCGCTCGTCTAGATTCCCAGGGAGATAGAGCGGACCGAACTTCGAATCCATATTGCGAAATCGTATATACGCTGAAATCATACGTTACGTGAGACTCTCAGCGCGGTGCACAAAGTGGAAATAAAGGAGGAAACGCGATGATTTTGTGCGCTCCAATTCCCGGGTTTAAACAGATACATTCCGCAAGTCGGATGCAGGGTCGAGCAAAAAAAATCGTCAACGATCGTGAACCACAAGCTTGATAACAGAATAGAATTAATACCTACACCGTATCGAGATATCGCGTTCTACTCTTCAAGGGGGATCTCTCGTATATGTTATCGATATTCTTTGAGTAGATTTTATTCCGTTGACACGGAATACATGCATTTATCTGTCTTATTGCTCGTGTGTATTGTCAGAGATTTATCTTTGCGAGAAATCTTTCTTTCTCTCGGAACTACTCCGCGAATCTCAAAGCTGTGTGTCGAATTTCATGCAACCGTTCGTCGACGTGGCGCCGAGAAATAATCGGAAGGATTGAACGGACGCGGTTCTCGCGATTAAGCCCAAAGATTTCAGCATCCTCCAGATCTTATCGACTGCAGAAGAGAAGCCTCGTCCTTCACATATAGCCTCCGGTTGGCGATGCAGATTTTTTTTCTGCGGGAAGAAAAAAACGTGTCATGTTTTGTTCGAAGCTATCTGATACTTTTGCCTTTCAAATATCGCATTTACGGCGAACGCAATACCTTGTATGTACCCGGTTCGTCCAATTATCGCGCGAGCCAGCCGTAATCCAACAACGGTGCGAACTCGGATTTCGACAGCGTATCGCGGAAGTATCGGAGAGCGATATAAATCTGAAAGAGATCGTGCAGAACCGGGAGCGCGTGCTCTACCTCCGCTCTCTTCCTCACGACCTCGCGCACGCGATCCGTACCATCTCGAAAGAATGGGGGCCCACGTCGCCGGAGGTCGATGAGGAGAGAAAAAAAACTCCGGCGATTTTCTATTGCGATATTGACGCAACTTCGCATTGGCGAAAAAAGGAAGATGGGATCGAAGAGCGGGTTTCTACGCTTCGCGCGGGGTTAAAAAGTCGCCGTATTTGTGCTCCACACTGCGTTCCTGACGTCCTGACCGGCGCGCGATGCCGAGTTTAGATTAGGTTACGGCAAATTAGGGGCGCGAGCTCATTCCGCTCGCTAATTACGTTTGCCGTGCAAATAAGAAGATATGGATTTGAAGGAAAGGCAGTATTTGCTTTACCATCCGTTTGTCTATTTAATATAATTGTTCCACTAATTTCAATAATATACGTACTAATTACGTACGTCTCGCGTGTTTACAAATTTAATAAGAGTTGAATTTATTGTTAGCAACTTAATTCATGCGCTGCGAGTGCCGATTGCCAACCACGAAAGCGTGCAGATTATTCATTCGCGTCACCCACATGATTGCTCGCTATTTAGGGTAGATGTTTATGACAAGAGTTGATTTCCTCGCGATGAAACGCTAAACTTAATTTATACATACCTACCAATTTGTGCTCGCTTCGATCGCGAATTAATGGAAAACAAGACACTGTTACGTCACCGCGACATGCCGTTTTCGCGAGACGCATAATTAGGATGCCCTCATATCCCTGCCGATTAATTTCCATTAAACTTTCGTTATAACGACGCCTTCCGCCGTCATTAAACGAATACTGTCCTCGCATGTCGTTACTTCATTTTCGCAACCCTTCTTCCGCGGTAAAATAAACCGGTGTTATTTTATTGCCAGCTAGCATCTTCCCACGATCATCTTTCTCGATATGCACTCTCCGCGGTACATGATGAATGCTGCTTGCGCGATGATCGATGTGCAGGATATCTCCGATCTATCAGTAGTAATCGGGTGTTTGAATTCTTCAATCGTATAATACGTTCGATTGTTTCGAATATTTTATTTAGAACCGGAAATTCTTAAGGATCTCGAAAATTCGCGGCCACCTTATCCGACGGATGTCATCTCGTCATCTACAGATTTCTCAATTGTATCTATCCCCAGTATCTGTGTCGAGCCGTTTGAGGGAATTATTTGTCGCGTTCAACGGAATCGCAGAAACGCGGTCCCGCCATGCGCTTCTGCAACGCACGCTTACGCAATCGCGCGTCGTGCGTCGGCATCGGAATTTGAAAATGTGTCACGGAATTTCGATCCGTGATCGCGAGATAGTTGCGTCGCCTATCGATCGCAGCGGAGCGAGAGAAAGAAAGCATCATTTATTGTTCGCTTCGCGATGTAATCTCCTTTAAGCGAGAGAAAGAGAGTACCTGTCGCGATCCCTCTCTCTCTCTCTCTCTCTCTCTCTCTCTCTCTCTCTCTCGGTTGCTCCTCTCTCGTTGACGAAGCGAGTGAATGGGCGCTTTGGCTCTCGGTAGCCGGAGCCTTCCCGCGAGCGCCAAGTTAGCCGAGCAAAAAGAAAATATAGTTCAGGCCGCCGAGTAAAGAGCCGATTGCATAATACAATAAGGCATGTCGCAACATTGCTCTCCACTTTAGAGGCGGTGTGCGCCTCCTCGCCGTCATCTTTGACCTTTGGAAAGCATCAGGCGCATATATAGACGCGTGCACCCCGAAGGGTGCGGCCGTGGCGGTGGCGGGCCGGCCCCCTTAATGTGTCGAACATAAACGCGCACACCTCTCAAGAGTCTCAAGTCGATAGATCTATTCTCTAACTCTTGACAGTTATATTATCGTCATTGCGCAGCTTTTTTACTATTTATAGGTATACCTGTGCAACGATAATATAACGACACCGTCAAGATGAGTTACAGAACAAATCTACTGATCTATGATGGAAGAATGAGTTAAAGAATACCAAGTGTAACATTGCGCATAATAACGATTACTTATATAGGATTGAATACAGGAAAGAAATTTGCTAGCAAGAGCGGTCATTATCTTTGAACGACTGCGCATCCACGAGAATGTTACACGGGCCCGATTCTTTAACGAGAAACGTATGCGCAAACTCTGCTCTAACAGAAAGGCTGCAAATTGATTGGCTATCGCATAGTTTTTAGCCAATAAGCTTGCAGCTTTTCTGTTAGAGCAGAGTTTACGTATACGTTTGTCGTTAGAGAATCGGGCCCCTGGTGTTCTTCCATCATGTACTGATCTAGATTAAGGGATATTCCAACCTTCTTCTCGTCAAAAGGACCATATTAAAATTTTTGTAATGACCGAGAGGGTCGGATAAGTTTTTTTTTAAATCATATAAAAACAAAGTATCTTAATTCATTTTTAAATTCTTTTATAACTTTGAAACTTTTTTTGGTGGGCTGGATCTAGTCTGCGGGACGTTGGAAATGACTAGATCGAACGTGAACGAATAAATTTGCTTCAAAGCGCGACGCCGCGTGTCCGAGTCCTGACTGCAGATCGAATACGTTTCGTTTCTTAGAAAAGAAGAATAATGGTGGAGTTAAAAATGCCTTTCGCCCCACAAAGACAAACGCCGCTGATTAACAATCGCATTTTTAAGCGTACAACAGCTTGTCGGAATTCCTTGAGCGTGGAACTGAGATCGATCGACCGAACGCGCTGCCTTTTAGCCACATAGCAATTATATCGTATTGACGTGCAACATGCCGTAATCGTGATGAGGACTAATTAACTATTCGCGCCGTACTTTCGATATCTCCATCAATACATAACTTTCGCTATAATCATTAGCAAACAGCTCGCTATGAAGACTTTATTCATCGCAAACCGGTTCCGCGGTCGCCCAGATAATCCGGAAAATTGGCATCAAGTAGAAAACGCGATACAAGTGAGAAGACTGCTGTAATATAATCATATTATAGTTGTGAGCTAATCTAATTGTTTTGCGTTATAATGTATACGTACGGCGGTTTTCTCACAGCAATCGGAAACAAATAAAGATATAAAGATATCTGACGATCCAAAAAGTGATTAAGCTTCGACATCTTGAATTTTCAAAAAAAGCATATATAAAAAGCAGATTATACATTTATTATTATAGGTGATAGCTGTAATAATATAATCATCATTGTTTAGTGTTGAAAATCTGTATAGCATACGTCATGTGCACGATACATTTTTAGTGCTGATTATTGGAACGTAGCCTTGTGAGAATCGATATAAAATAAAGAAAAAAAATCATTCAAGCATTTTTTTTTCGATTTATTAGCAATTAGCAGCTCCGTGAAGTTGGCGACACGCGCGCAGCGACACGAAGTTGCCACGGCGACGCGTTTCAAGTGCCATCTTCACGCCGCACGTGGAACTCCGATGACGTGCTCCTCGAATGATTCAAGTCTTGTCGAGACGCAACGATAGCGTGACGATAGTTCGCGGGAAAGCGGGAACCGTTATTATGAGGCGTCGTTGACGCCTCCGACGCCTCGCCGCGGCTCGCCGTCTCCCGCGCGAACAAAAGGGATTGTCGGGAAATGGCGGAGGACGAGGAAGCGGACTGCCCGAACAACGCACGGCTGTTCCGAATCGCTGTCTCCAACAACCTGAAGAACATAGCCGAGTCCGTGAGGTGAGTGACGTTGGCCCGAGAGGCGCGGACGCGCGCGCGTGTGTTTCCTTTCGGTTTCGCGCGCAACTTCGCGCGCTGAACTTAACCTCTTTCGTTCGTCGCAACACACGCGCGTTTTTTCTGCTTTCTGCCCGACTAGAGGCCGACAAGCCGAATCGAAGCGCACCCACGTCATCGTCACTTTTGGCGGCTTGCCAGACGGTTTTTTGTTTCTCTAAAAAAAAAAGTGTTGCAAAATTGTTGCCCCACGACAGTCCCCCTCGTCTCTTGATTTATTGTTTGTATATGGCTTTTTTTTTTTTAAACTCGGTCGAGGAAAGATCTCGTCTCTACGTCTTTCTAGCTTCAGCGTCTGGCTGTGCGCAAAAATCACGATTCATATACGCTCACGCAATAACAGTACCGCTAACCGCTATCAAAAGTGTGTCAAGTGCGTCACGTGGTCGAGAAGATCTGCTCCGATCTCCGATCCAAGCGTCTCGTTTACAGACTTCAGGATTTTCGATTGTACCCAACACTCTTTTATTTTTTGTGGAAATGCTAGCACGTTAATAAAAAAATTATTTCTTTAATAATTTTAATGTTATCAGAATAATGGAATTAATCCATTAAAGAAAGGCTATTGTATCTCTCGAGCCTATTTCATAATAAATTCTCTATGTCTGATCTTTCAATCGCAACATATATGAATGGAGTACTTTATAATTTTAGGTTCTTTCAGGAATACCCTGTATAATTGAAATCGTATCGAGAGATGCAAAGATCAATAGATCATTCATATCTGTAATGTCTAAAATCTGAAATTGTGTTTTAGAGAAATTATTGCGAAAGATCATCTTGCAAGATAACTGTTTTCTATGTATAGCCTATCAGAGTCTGGTTTTTTTTACGAGAAGCCGATTCGTGATTTATTGAACGGGACATCAAGATGAAAAGCGGCGGGCGTATGTGTGGAAGGGATCGGCATCGTCAATGACCTAAACGCCACTCGGTGTTACTCGATGTCATTGGCCTCCGCGGTTCGCATGTTAATTCCCGACTCGCCGTGACCGTTCACGAGGCTCACGTGGCCGTCGTACGCTCGCGTCGAATCCGTGCCGCGATCGTCGTCGGAGCCCTCGTATAGCGATCTGCTGAATCGGGGATCCCTCCCGGTACCTACTCGGCTTCCAGGAAGGCCTTCTTCGCGCGGATCTCCACCATGCACACCAGTTGACCTTCGAGGAATTCCACGAAGCGTTCGGGGAAACAAAGGCCTCCTGCCACGGTGACCGGCGCGGGGGCGATGGTCATTCGTGTGCTGCGTGTCGCCGGGATCGTGCACGCACGCACGCACTCCGTAGCGGAGGCAGTTGATTCTCTCGAGCAAATCGTATCGGTCATAACAGTCTCAACGTTGAACGCTGCAAAATTGTAGGAAATGATTTCTTTTGTTGTAGGAAATTCAATTTCATATTTACCGTTAATTTGATTCTGTGCGCGTATACGCGATTCGGAAATGCGAGGGGATAAGCGAATGAATCTCTCCTGGACCATCGGAAGCGGCTTAGCGTGCTCGGTTAGGCCTGGACTAATGCAAATATGTAGCATTGATTTCAAATTGCACCAGTCCCGGCCTGATTGAGTATGCGAGAAACAACGTTGCCGCTGCCGCTGACAACGGGAATCGTTGTACGAGGATCTTGAGGTAAATTTAATGCAGCACGACCGTTTTTTATGTAGGTATGATTATGCGAATGTTACGCGAATGTCGAAGTAAACGTAACAAGCCCCGGCGTATTTTTAAAACGTCGGAAACTGAGTAAGGAGACTGGATCGTACTATTGTATGCTTATTGTAACGCAGCAAGAAGTCTATTAAAATCGTCCGGGTTCCCGTCCTCTGTGATCGAAGGTGCCGCTCTTTGTCTGGCGTCGGGACAAAGAATTCGATCCCCCGGCGATAGTCGTCACGTACTAACTATGCATCATGTACGGGAGAACGCGCATCCGATCGTGCGTTGAAAAGCTGCCGGAATAAGGGGCACGTGTCTTCTTTTTTTACTTCGTACGTGTAAGAGCCACGCCGTATATATCGTCCAGGTCGATAAGGCGCCTTTCTGCGAAACGAGATACAGCGAATAATTCAAATTGCCACGCAGCGGTGCGTTGTATTATATTTCCGGATGTCGTTAATCTTAGATAAGGAGGCCGCGTTTATTTCAAGCCGTGACGGCTATATTACCCGTTTACGAGCTACTGATTTAGCACGGTGACGCAGTATTCATTCATTTCGCGCTTAATAACTTAAATAACGTTTCGTCGTACTTTTCGTTCCAGCGAGAATGAGTTTCTCGAGATACTCACGATTCTCAAGTCGAATCCCAAAACCGCCCAGAAGTTGCACAAAGCCATGATAAAGGAACTGTACAACAGCATGGACGATGATCTGAAAGATATATTGAAGGAAGGCAGCCTGCAGGAAACCTTGACCAAAATAGCCAAACTGTCCGAGGAAAGTACGACATCCGCTAACGAACACGCATGGTCGGTAGATTTGTTAGATCGTTTCATGATTGTGCTTGAGTGTAATCTTTTATTTGAGAGTCATCGTATGATTGCAGGCGTCCACCAGGGGATGTAACCAGGCATATGAGATCACTGGACGCGCACAAGATCAAGGAGGCGACAGAGGAATTGGAGGAACGAGTGAGCGAGATGGAAAGGGAAAATAAAATCCTAATGAGAACAATCGCGGAATGTAGATCGAGGATACGTACCACGAACGATAACGTGACGAGAATTCTGAATTCCGCGCCAATCATCCTGCAACGATTAGAAAACACGCGCGAACAGCTAACGACTTGTCTCAAAACGATCGAAAACGAATAGCTCCGAGATGGATCTCGGAAGCACGATGTATATAATGTGTATATATATATAGATTATAACGTATTTCTGTTAAAAATAATAGATTCGTGAAAAGTATACGTTTATTACAAGTATATACATATCAAGAGACACTGCAGTGTCTCGCGTCAATTTGTAAGCGCCCAATTTCAATTCAAGCTTCAATTCAATTTTAGCTAAAAAGAGAAGAGGGTGAAAATAAAGGAAAATTTAATTTTATATGTGCAGTTTATAATAAATTAATTTTGAAATAATTTATATCAGTGATTCTTCCGTTCCGCGAAGATATATTCATTTAACATACATACATTTTATTTTGTTTCAAGTAAAAAGTGAAATAGTAGAAATTATCGACAAATATGAGTGGATAGGCTACGAAATACAGAAAAATTAATTGCCATATAACAATAAATACAATCAATAATTAAAAGTTTGACATTAAATAAATTAGAATATATTATAAAATATTTCCTGCTTTCTTATATTTACATCTCTTAAGTTTTTATATTTTCTCTTTTATGTTTGGTACGTTATGTACGTTAAAAAAAAAATCAGCATATTTTACCAGTTTTTGGTATATTTAATCCTGTAGGGAGACCAAGCATACAAATTTCAAAGTCTTTTAAAAAACTGGACAGTATTTAAAAAAATTGTTAATATAAAATATTAATTATTTCCTATTTTATTTCCCGATTTGCGGATACTGATTTATTTTTATTTCACACAGGCATAATACATAAATTTACAATATATAAATATCTTCTCCGGTCTTTCAGTCCATTGAGATATGAAAACTATGAAGATATTTAAAAGCAGTAAATTTTAAAAGCATCAATAAACTTGCTTATTTTAATTTTATTCTACATCTTTCTCTTTTCTTTCTTTGCTGTTTATTGAAACTTTAAAATTTAACTGATTACGATGTATTTTAATCTTCTAATATTCTATTTTATTTTTATGGTGTTTTTATTAGCGTTTCTAAAAATCTTAATGTGTGCCAAAAAAGCTTGGCAAAAAGTATAGCGCGCGATAACATCTTTATAAAATTTTGAACACAATTTTTTTTTTTTTTTGCGAAAACTATTTCATTGTTGTCACTTTAATTTTACCGAACTTGCTTTATGTATTAATATATTTCTTAATTCTTGTTTTTTTCCTATTAAAATTTGTTCTGTTAATTTCAAGCAATTCATGAATCTCGAAATTAAATTAAATCGAAATTTATTAATAAATTAAATAAATGACATGATTCCAGGAATTGAGTGTATTATTAAATCTATTTCAACCTATCCATTTTAATGCAATGGATCTTTGTTAAATTCGTACAAAGATAATACGTTCGTAATATTCTAATTTCTTTCAATTAAATATATAAACATGTTTTCACAGATCTACTACGGAAATTTAAAGCAAAGTAACTTATCACTCACCGATACCGATGCGCAGCAACGGAGTGATGCAACTACGTTGATCTGTATTTCTGTAACATACAAATTATGGCAACGTATTAATTAATAATTCGAGAAATAATTATTTTGCATAAAATAATTATCATTATTTAATTTTACAAAGCAGGCGAAATAAAATGAATAAGATACTAACTTCGTGGTTACTCCGTTGTTACCCGATGCCTCCGAGGCCTCCTCCTCTCGATTCCCTCCGTCACAACACCCGCGACACTCACTCACGAAACTGCGGTCAATTATGATCGCGCGGAATTTTATACGACACTCCCGACATTAACAGTTCGGGAAACTCTGCTGTATTTCCAACGATCAATTAAAATCAAACGGATCGTGCGAGAAAATCGTGCGACACATTTATTCCGACGAACACTCGATACATTTGCAGATTGTTGAACGTCGATTATTCCCGCGGCCCGCGGAACGTAGCAGCAGGAGTGCCAATTGCAAGAACGAGCGGCGTTTCGAGACTTTCGAGTAGCACAGCACGACGACGGACGCGAGGAAGTGCGAACATTTCACTTGTGCGAGATTTATCGGGGCAATGATAGCCTCGTGATTTTCGTGGGCAACGGTATGCCGAGCGTCGACGAAAACAAGTGGCAAGGCTCCCCGCTGACAAAAACAATCGTCCGCCCACTAATTTTCAAGGTATACATATGTTGTTTCGAAGTTTCAACGGTCGCGCGTCGTCGCCTCTAGACCCTAGTACGTCGTCTGTGTCGCCGCGGCCGCCGTGCGCCTGCGACTCAGTGCGGTCGAACGTGATTGGCTGGCGCGCGGGAGCTCGACTCGACATGGCGGCTCGGCGCGCGCAAGCGGCGCAAGTAATTCACGTCGGTGCGGCGCGAGACGTTGACGATCGTGTCTAATCCTTTTTCTCGTGAACGAAAAGAAATTCGGTTGCAGAGTGTTGCGAGCTGAACGTACGCCGAATAATCCGTTCTTTTTCGTGCCGAGTGCAACGAGTGGAATGCCGTCGCTGGACGAAACGATCGCCGAATGCCGTGCTGGACGTCGTACGTATCTGCACCCTCACAGCTGTGATTTGGCGGGTCTCCTGGCAGTGCTCCGTGATCGGTGAGTAGTTGTGCATGATAAATAAATTATTCGAAGCGAGATACATCCAAATCGTAATAGATTTGTTGTCATGCATATCGCAGTGTGACGATAACCCTCAAAATTCGCGTCTCCTGCCTCCGTCTTTCACTCCGAATTAGTGAATTGCACGGGAAGACGCTTTCAATGGTCTAGTTTACACCGATTTCTTGATACGCGTATCAAATGGTATATTTGAGCTGATCAGCCAATAATCAAACTAATTTACTAGTTATTTACTATTTAATACGCGTATCAAGTGATCGGTGTAAACTAGGCCAATAATAGCATGAATCTTTCGTTAAGCACGGGAATTAATAATCGATTGATGATTGAAGTGAACGATCGCATGTTTAGCGTTCTCATTTTGCTTTTCGCGATCGCGAACGAAGGAGCGAGCTCGCTTCAATATAAGCGTGTAAATATCGAGAGTGCGACAAGTTCAAATGTGCGTCTACGAATACATTCCGTCTTCCATTAAAAAACGAGCACTCGTTTACGTAGTTCATAAATGTTTAAAATTTATGTGTACGTGTGTTTTATTTTTTTTTCATAACCGCTACAGAAAAAAATTGTATCGGTGTTACAGAAAATTAACGTTAAATTGTATCGGTGTAAAAATTTTTGTCTTGTAGATTTATTCAAGAAAAAGAAAGAACTTTGTCAATTCGATCGAGGATTTTAAAGTTATTTCTATAACATTTTTTTTTATAGTTAATGCACTCGATAGTATGTCACGATACATGCAAAATCATGGCTGGCACAGTTTAATATTATTTTCTGCAAAATAGAGATTATTATAAAATTTATGAAGAAGCATACGGATTTATTAGCGAAAGAGAAAGAACGACATCAATTTGATATTATAAAAAATTTTTTTTAAAATTTTTAATATTGTTAATTTATTTTATAATTCTATATAATATTATATGTATTTTATAACATTTTAATATATTAAATTATTTTAACATTTTTTATGTTCTACATACATATATATGTGCCAAACTTATTTAGACACATTTATAATATCGTAAATGTTTGGTGTACATACTGTACAAATATTTTATATTTATACGAAAAATTTCATTTCATCGTATCATTAATTAATAGCACTGTCGACTTCATTTATTTCCCGATGTGTAAGAATGGCGTTTATCCGTTTCTTTATATCTGGCGAAATGAATAAACCGCTTTCAGATATCTCCTTCAATTCTCGAATCTGCATCGCATTCTTTTCCTACAAAACAACGACAAATCGTGTAACAATTATAAGTGTGCTTTCGCGATTAATTGGGGGCGAGAGGGTTGAAATTATTTACTTCCTGTTCCGCGATCATGGCCCTTACGCGGGTGAGCTTTTTTCCATTGTCATTCGCTTGTCTTCTCAATCGCCCCAACTCTTTCAACATTTCCCTCCTCTGCGTCGTCAGCTCGCTTATCCCCGCGCTAATCGTCTCGTTCGGATCTTCGTGACTACTCGATCTCTCTACGCACGCATCGTAGTTCAGATTTATGTCTTTAAAACGCTCGTGAATATTCTCCTCCTCCCAGCGCACGTTGTCCATCACGAACTGCGCTTTCCGCTGCAGTTGTCTCACGTCGCAAATTTCCGTCTCTATGTTCTCGCACTCGTCGCGGCAGCTTTGCAGCGTCGGCTTGTAACGATTGATCTCTCTCTCGATCTGACGAAGCTCGTTATCGAAATCGACGCTGTCGATGTTCATTGCTCCGATCTCGCCAGACGCTACGCAAATCAGATTTCAATTTTTATTCAAGTGTTTTTTTTTTTAATCAAAAGTAAATTTCTTAGCGCGACAGCATTATTAAAATAAATTAAAAATAATTAATTGGAATATATTAAATTAATTGGAAAATAAGAATAACTGAAAAAACAGCGAAATGAATAAAGCAGTGAAGCTGATCAGGTTTGATGAAATTTATAGCACCGAAGCGTTTTATTTGCGAAAAAGACTACTGATAAGGGTCGATTCAGACACAGCCGTGCCGTACTCGTATCGTTAACGTTAGACAAGGATGGAGACAATAGGTATCCTTGTCTGTTGTTTCTGTTCCGTGCACGGTACGGGTACGGCACGGCTGTGTCTGAATCGACCCTAAGACGATTACCAGCCGCGTGACGATCGATACACCCTCCGAAATTCCGATTGAATTCATCGGCGTCCATCTCGGCGTTAATTGCTCGAAGGATTCAAAGGTACCCGACAATACGGCGTTCGTAATGTCGGAACGGTTGATTTTGCGAAAGCTTGCGTGGCTCGTATAATTTCACCGTGCGCTAACGCCCTCTTGGAAATATCGCGGCCGAAGTCGAAAGCAGTAAGCCAAATGGACGGTGGTAACGGTGGGTAACGGGGAGGTGCATCTACCGCGCGTTCCGCGGTGCTCCGACGTCAGAAATTACGTCAGGCGTGATCGGTTGCAATTAACTGCCGTCTCGATTATCTCCGATAAGTAGTACATTATAAATAATTGCACGTATAACAATTTTACATATTCTGCTATTTTCCATAAATTACGTACATACAAGTTATTCCGATACGTAATTCCGAACGCGTAGAACGGGCAGTTATCAACTTGAAGTTTGCTGCGCGTCTCGACGTTGCAATTCACGAACTTGAATCCTCAGAACGCGTCGCGGCGGATCGCGGAGTCGAGTCGAGTCCGCGTCGCTCCGTATTTCTCGCGTTTGTTCGGGAATAAATCTCGCGCGTGAAGTCGAAATCGCGAGTGTCGTGAAACGTATTTTATCGGATATTCGTAATTCGTTGGACACCGCGTACGATCGATACGATATCGCCGGTTTCGGAGTCGCCGGAGCTGCCTCAGTGGGCCCGGACGAGTCCATTGGAATCGTCCTCCATGTTCATTTCCCACGGCGCGGGGAAATCGGAGAAACGAGCGCGCGATTATTGCCAGGTACGTGCAAACGCATCATCATTTGATTAATTAACCGGATTATGTATTATCTATTAATTAACCGGTCATCTTCCCGACAATTCGTTGTTTCGTCAAATAGTTTCTGATATTGCGAATAATTTCTGATATTCAGTACGACATTCTTAATTTCATCTCGTCGAATAGTGGTATCAATCGCGCTTTCCGCATCCATTTCCTTATTTCTTTTCCCGTATAATCATTAAGCTCGTTGAATCTAGATAACGCGAACCGACCAATAAAATTACCGCGATTAGCGTGTCGCCGATAACGGCGCCGGGCAAGATTCAAACGTGGCCAGGTAACATGGCGTCGGTCGCGCCGCAGCGTTTCCCGCGTAAAACCAGCGCTGCGCCGCGATTGGCCGCGCTCGGCCAATGGCCCGGCGTCGCGCGCTCGGCGTCGCGAGATGGCGGCACCGTACGATCACGGTGATCACAACGCACCCGCGATTCGCCATTGCGACGTGATTGCCTATCGAAGTTTCGTTTCGCGTTCGTGCGTGAGAAATCGTCCCGGTGCGTCCCACACGTCGGACTTCCCTGGCCGCGGCCTACGCAAGTGCCAAGTAAGTTGATAATGGCCTTCTGTCGCGTCGTACCCGCGCCGATCCGCCGCCGGCTCGGAGATGCGGAGCTGAGAGTCGCGCACGCTGTAGGGCCCGAGAAACGTCACGCGTCACGGAGGCGCGTCGCTGCGGAGGGATACGCCGCCGACTTGTCTTTTTTTCTTTCCCCGTGGGGGTTAATCCCGTAATTTGAGTAATTTCCGCCCGCCGTCGGCGGTCGAGACGTGTCGGATCGGTCTGTCCCTCCGTCGCGCGCGCGCACGCTTGCGACCGATCGCGAGTCATCGACGATCCGCGACGTCTCAAGCTTCTCTCCTTCTTTCTCTTTAACGCGTAATATTCCGAGCGCGTTTGTACGCCGCCGAGAAGCGGTACGCGATCGCCTTTGGAGGTTATACGCCGCGGCAGAGCGACGCGACGCGACGCGGCGCGCCACGCCGCGTGAGCGGTCGCACGCGACCGTGGAAGCTCCGAGTCGATATCTCGGGATGTTTTATCATGCTTCACGTTTTCCTCGGGCCGACGGTCTCGCCGTCGAAGATACGGTAATACTCCGATGAAGCGCGGCGGCGTCGCGGAAGCTCCGCCGTCGCGTCGCGCGCTGAAGAACCGCGAATAAATAAATAAAATGCTCGGTCGATTATTCCGCGGCCGAATATAGCAACCGATTCTCGGGGAAAATATATCGCGATGTATTTTCCCCTTTTCCCCCGCGAAGATGAATGCTCCGTGTTCGGTTGAACCTTCGAACTTGCTTTCCCGGATCGTTTGCATGGCGAGGTGGCAGGGATACGCTGTACCTAATTCGTGGCGTAACGTATATTGTTTATTCGCAACGAGAGCTCGATATCTGCGGCGGCCGTTATCTCGCGGCGATAAGCGCTCCGAAAGTCCGAATGACGTGCACGACTAACAACGCACGGCAGAATACACGGAGAACCGTGAAGAAATATATTTACTCGGGATCCCCGCGTTGGAGAATCGCAAATTTTTTTTTTTTTTAGATTGTAATAATGCTCAGATAATCTCACGAGATGAGGTAGAATTGGGGGATCGCGTGATGCGACGCAGATGTATATTCCGACAAAATGATTAGATGGAGAGATATTTCCTTTCGACAAATCCACACGTGATTTGTCTCCGTCGAGGAGACAAGCGTTTGTCTCTCGCTAATGATTTCACCATACGATGCGAACAGGCGTAACGAATCATTAGTCTCGGCGATTCGGTGCCAATTCTATTCGGTTTCCTAGAGGTTTTCCTCTCGCTTGGAAGCGTGACGCTATTCCCGGCACACTCGGACAGGACGTTCTACCGACAAATTTGTATCAAACGCACACATTTTTACGAGCTTGACGTCCACAATCGGGTAACGATTTCGTAGAATCGATAGAAATGTTTTAAATCCGACGAAAAGTAGCATTAATTTTTTGTCAAAAGAGTTTTGTTGATTTCGTACGATAATTTTCAAACGAGCCATTGAAAATCGCGAAAGGTCGTGGCATTTTGTGCCTGAAAATTTTACAAAGTATTGAATAAACACTTAAAACCCCGCTTTATATTTGTACGTATATGTATTGTACGCCGGTTGATATTAGGACACGCGTCGACGGCTGAAAATTCCCTGGGCAACAATTCTATTAATAGCTCGATCTGGAAGACATTTTTACCTCGCATGCAATCGTCGCAATGGCGAAACGACGTGCATTCTAGGCGATGTAATCCGAATTCCGTTATCAACTATTTCAAGATATCAGTTATGTTCACGATAATTATGCCACATTAATATGAACGACCGCTGGACTCTAGACTCCGATCGAGTCGTAACTCGCTCGCTCGCTCGACCTCGTGTCGAATGTAAATTATTGCGCGTGAAAATTCAGCGATCGATGCCTGGACGATCGTACGAAATTCCTCGAGTTATCGAGGACGGATAATTAGACGAATCTTTCGAAACTGACTAATTTTCAATTAATTCGGACTTGTTAGATATTCTTGTTAGATATTTGTAGATGACGTTTAATTCTTTCTGATGCCGCACTTACATCAGTTTGACGATATCTTTCGCCGAGCTTTTTCAACTATTCCATTTAAAATTGCACGATTGGATAAAATGAAGGATCGCGGAGTGCAACGGGACGGGAGCAGGTCCGAGAGACACGAGCCTCTTGCTTGTAGGCAGGGGGAGAGGGAGGAGGGGAAAAGGGGTGAGGTGAAGAGACGGATAGTTTGGGCTAGGTCAAGCCGAGTTAGGTGGTCCCCGAGTGGCAATCGAGGGGATCAGGGTTCAGGGTGTAGCTCTGCCGTTTCATCCAATTTCTCGACGGCGAGGCCGGTGGCTGGAGGACGGGTTGGGCAGGCGGGCGGGTAGGCGATGGTTCGCCCGAACGGGGGTGGATTTCTCCCGGTCGTCCCTCCCGCCCTCCCTCCTTCCGCCGCTCGACACAATGGCACAACAAAGCGTTACCAGGGTAACTGGCCGGCGGAGCGGTTGCCATCACAAAACTTTCCAACTTGTGATTGCAAACATTAACGTCGCCACGGCCGGCACACGCGCGCTGCCGTGCGGATTCACACGCACGACACGCTGTTCTCACACGCCCGCGCCCGTTCGGCACGCGAGCGCGCGTGCCTGGGACACGCACTTTGTTGTTTCCACTAAGTGCCGGGTGGAAAACAACGACGGCGGCGTCGGCGGCTGCGGCGCCGCGCAAGGGAGGGAGAAGGGAGGATGTCGATGGTCGGTGCTTCTTTGTAAATCGTTATGGTTCAAGGTTTCTTTTTATTACCCGTTTTGTAGGTTGAATTTGTTTTCCCTCGCGGCGGGAGAAGGAAGTGTCAGACCTGATAGCAGGTGCGCGCGGTACAAAGCTAACGCCCTGTAGCTAACGTCAAATTTTTTCTACGTTAGAGCTTTTGTGCCGCGCGAGAGGGTATCTCGCGAGGGAGTAACGAGATACACCGACGTGTATCGATACCACGGTTCGTCGGATTATATCGCCGCTATTGGAAACATTCGTACGTGCCCGAACGCTCGTTTTAAGAACGCTCGAAGTAACGGACATATAGAGATGTTATTTTTGCTTAACTCTATCTGTAACGTAAACAGAGACGGGGGAAACCGAGTTAACCGTGATTAACATTGACTAACGGCTGGGTAATTCGCTATATAACCCAGGCTACGGTCAACGTGACGCTACAAATGCTTCGAAGCATTCCTCTTCTCTTTTCTTTCAATGAAGAAAGAAAGAAAAGAAGAACGCTCCAAAGCATTGTAGCGTCACGTTGACCGTAGCCCCAAAGGCAGGGTTGAAAAGGCGCTAACGCTCCTAGCCTAAAAGGAGCAAAACCAAAAAGAAAAAAAAAGACTAACTTCTGGAGCGTAAAGTCGAATGTTGTTACTTCAAACACGTAGGTACGCCGATTCTAGGTCTTGAGAAAACGCGCGGCGCGAGTTACAGTTAGCCTTGATTATTTCGCAGTCTCCAACGCGCGGGTTGGTCTCACGATTTATGCAAAGGGATCGACCGCCGCCACCGCCACCGCCGCCGCCGCCGGTCAACCTTGATTACACTTTTATCACTTAAAACAGGTCCGGCACTTTCAGCGCGTAGCAGTCGGCGTAACACTGACATCGCGCGCGCGTAATAACACGTGTACGGCGGCGAATTGACCCAGTTGCGCGTAATTTTACAATCTAGCCTAGCAAGCTTGTGTTTTTATGTTAAACGGATCGTCGTAGGACGACGTCATTCGCGGCGTCGATTATTTCCCACGCGCGACGTAATCGATACGGGTGAGAGGAGGAGGAGGAGGAGGGAGTTGGGAGGAAGGGAGAGGCAGGATGATGGATGTATTCGTATTATTTGCAATCGCAATTTGCAATGGAGCACTCGTGTCGGCTGAAGCCTTTAGGCGCTGCGGTATTTCGGGTCCTCCAGTATCTCGACGGTTCAATGGATATTAAATTGAATTAAAAGACCGGGAGAAGGTGTACCCTGCATTACGGTCGGATTATTTATTTAGCGGATGTACCGTACACAAACGCGCGGGACCGCCCGCGCCGCTCCGCACCGCGCGCGCCGGCGGATTAAGAGACGAGGGAAGAAACGTCTCTCGGATATTTTAGCTTTTCGCGCAAAAAAGGCGGAAATTAATGGTTTATTTTATTCGCTGCGAAAGACTCCGCGACTTCAATAAAACGACGAGAAGTTCTGCTATCTCGCGCGCGATGGATGGCGAAACTCTTAATTAGATATCGGCAAAATAGAACTTCCCGCTCGCGTAGGATCTCTCTCTCTTTCACGAGCGGAACGAGATATTTTGTTTCCGTAACTAGCGAACTGTGTTTCGTCGAGCGATAAATTAACCATGTAATTCTCAACTCCCCCTCTCCTCTCCTTAGTTGATTACGTTCGATTTTCTTCTCTCTCTCTCTGTCTCTCTTTTTCTTAAAATGAGAGAATTATTTACTCGCTAATTGATTTAGTTTCGATGCGTCGCGGGACTTGTTATTCCGAATAACTGTAGCGTATTTAGTAATACGTCTCTCCCTCCGATTCTTATTTACGATATCCGAGGTATTACTGAGGCAATTACGGGAAATTAAAGTGGCGATAAATGTGGTAAAGCCAAGCCCACGACAGATTATATTTTATTTTTTCACTCGCTCGTGTCCGCAAAGTCATAAATATCCGGCTTTTAATTGAATTTTCCACACGGTGACAATTTGCGAATGCGCTCTTCGTACACCGCGGTGGTAAAATGATACGTGTCATCGATTCGCACACTTTCGTCGCGTTCCAGTTAACCATCTGTTCCGAGGAAAACGGGCGGCTAAAGTAAAGTGAAATCGCTTTGTGCGAATGACACGGAGCTAAAATAGGATAGACTATGTAGTCAACCCGATAAGGTGTTAACCTCGACAGCTGTTCAAATTACTCGCTTTATACATTTCGCTATTCCGTTTCCTCTTTGTCTCATCTTTTTTTTTTTTAATTTATTCGACATCTTCGCTCTTCGAGTCTCTCCTGATAAATAAGCAAATGCCTCGTCAGATCTCCGCAGAGACTGCGCAACATCTGTGAAGCATTACTTTACGTTCATTTCTATCCTATTTACAATTCCACTTATAAGAATATTAATCAGCGTGCATCTATTTACAATGACAGGCAAGAATTCATTAATAGCACGGATCGTGATTGCACATCTATTCGCTGCGCACTATTTGCGTCAGCGCGCGGCGCGGCCAAGCGATATTACCTCCCTATTTAGCTATTCATGTACGAGTTATTGAAAGTCAGAGTGGTTCGAATAATTCACATAACAATGACGCGCATTAATTAACGGTGATCACTTTGTCTTTACTGTCAGAACTGTCATCCAAAGTCACTCAAAAATTATTATTGAAAATACTCGCGCAGCAATAATTCGCGACATTTACGTTTTAATACAGATTTTTTTTTTAATAAACTAATTTCGCGACGCGACGATGCTCGTAATTAGTTCCGCGACGACACGCGGGAGGGTGGAATACGTCTCGAGAGGGATTGCCCAAGAGGATTGCGACAACGCCGACATTCCTCGTTGCGTCCCTCTACTGCGGAGTTTCCCTTTTTGAATTTCGCCTTCTCTCACGTTCCTCTGCCTTCTCCTCCTTCTACTTAGCAGTCGTCCCGCCGACTCGTAGTCCTTGGGGCTCCGCATGCACTTTTACGACGGATGGAATGCAGCGGTTGTGCCGCCGTTGCCGCCGGTGTTGATCTATCTAGGTCCTCCTCGCGAGCGCGGCGAATCATGAAACATACACGCATACGCACACCGAGCGTGACACACGCGCCACGCGTGTGCGTAAGTTCTTCGTCGCTTTTTCTCCTTCTTCCTCGCGATGCCGCCTGCCGCCGCTCTTATGGAATTCGCGAGGTTACGAGATTATTCGCCCTGTTAATTCTTGCCTCTCGCAAGTTGCGACGTCGAATGGAATTTTTATCGACGTAGGGAGTACCACGCCACGCCGTTTTAATTGCGTCGCGTTTCCACTTTCAATCGCGATGTTTTCAAACGCCGTACGGCAGTCTGCGTCCTCAATCTATGCCAATGCACGTCGCAGTCGTTCATACCTGCTCACATTTTTACGAGTTTTTATCTGTCGACGCGAAAGTCTTCGCGGGGCCTCTCATAAATGTTCAACAAAGCCGTTGTTGAATAAGCTACTGATTTTGTATCTCATTAATCATGACGTAAGTATGTACAAGCGAGGTATGAGTCAAGTGCGAATTGAAAAGGATTAGTTTGATGTATTGGCAGATGTTTTACAAGCGTGGATAATACGAGAGCGTATAGACAATATTGATAGCATACCGTGATTGCCGTGTTGCTTTGAAACAAAAATCGCCGTCATGTAGGGATTAGCTGAGGGGATTTGAAAGCGGCGTGTGCGATTCGCGCGTGTGTCCGTCCGTCCGGATTAATACGCCCATGTGGGAGCGCGCTATTAAATCTGATCGTCGCCTCGCCGGCAAAAGAGATTTACGATCCGACGTAATAACTGCAACGTCCAAGGTGCGCTTGGTGCACCGCGAAGAAATTGGTATCGATTCACAGCTAACGTAATTGGCAATCGGGTCCGTTACCGCTACCGCGAGTGCGTAAATGTTATTCATTATCCTTATTTGCCTCATTATCGCCCCGTTATTTCTCCATTTCCCATCGTCGTAAAAACGCGCGTAAAGAGAGGGGGCACGTTTGTGAGAAACCGGCATGCGAGATGTATATCGTTTTAAAGCGCTCACCGATTACGTAACCAGTTAACCATTCGGGCAGGTAAGAGAACTCGAGACTCAGGAATCTCGAGGAAGATCGAGCATCAACGCCTAAGCGCGCGCGCGCGCTCTCTTTCTCGTCTCTCTTGTAACCGAACGTCGAGCCCCGCAACTCTCGCGTCGTCGGTTTACGTAACGAGTTCACGGTGGGCATACTACGCGGGTCGAATCGCCTGCATGCCAGGTGCTGTTGCTCAAGGTATCTTCTGGGAACTGCCTGTCAGACGAGCCACGTGCAAATCGCGGTTAATGGGTGGTGCGATCGTAAAAAGTCGACGAGTGTCTTTTAGGCTTAATTTGAATTGATAGGCCAATTTGCCACGTCAAACGTGACGTCGGTCTACGGAAGCAGTTTTATAAGGCATGCCTCGTCAGAAGTACGTGTCACTTTAGTCAAATAAAATTTTTTTTTTCCCTATTAATTGTTTAATGCCGATGAAGTTGAATTCCGGATCGATAACGTTTAGTACACGCGCTGTAGTATTGGAAGCATGTTTCTTCGCAGGTTGTCAGGAGAGAATTTGTCGCTTCTATTGTCATTCCGATACACTTTAATTAAACGCTTCCGGTACTGGCGAACGTCTGACCACGTTGCGTTTGAGGCTGATGAATGGAAATGTTTGGCCTTGGATAATTCGTGCAAATATATTCTCGGCTATAATTGCTTTTACGCATTATTAATTAATCAAAGTGATTTAAACGTAATCGAGATGACAATTAAGCGAGCGTGACACGGCTGTAATTTTTAATAATTGTACAGTTTTAATTGCACAACGGTTATTAAAAAGATGAATCGTTAAAAGAGTTAATCTAATAACTATATTTAATCAAGAAAAGTAAAAGTTATTCTTGTTTTACGTGGAATTGATTTATCAATAAATCTGAAGCTCCCGGGAATATTTTTCGGCTTTTTGTGCCTCGAATTCCACACGTGGGCGTTCCAGTGTCACGGGCTTGTGATCACGATGCAAATGCGTCCGATGCGAAAGCCTGATCTGACATGTTACACGACCTTGAACTTGGCACTGGGTGACCCGTTTGGGAACGCATCCTCCTCTCGCTTTTTGCACGTATGAAACTTTTGCTTTCACCTCTTCTTGCACCGGATTTTCGTTCACGTCATTCTTAATGCACGCGATGCGAGCCGAAGGAAAGGAGAGCGACGGTCCGCCGCAACATCTTTTAACGCAGCTGTATTACCGATTGCGATAAACGAGAATAATATTTCTTCGCAGCGCGACAAACGTACATTAGTATGATACTTTCTTTATAAATTTAATAATAGAATCGTAGGGCACATTTCTCCAATTTGCGTTAGAACGCCAGCCAAAAGCTGATAATATAACGCGGCTGTGATACCTTCACTGACTTAATATCAATGGATAGTATTCAATTCACAAGTTAGCGTAGCAGCTGCGGCAGCAAGCGGTGCCAGAGGATTTCTCGGAGTACGACTCTCATTGTTCCGCGTGCGATCTTGGCACGGAAACCAAAAGCAATGCCGCGATAGGCGTGTCCAAAGTGGTCCAAATTCTTAGGATTGTACAAGACGCTCGAGCGCCGTTCATATCTTCATCGGTGCGCCGCGAAATTTTGTATAAATTCCCGAACATGCGCGTCTTTTTCTTTCTTAATTCTTTCATGAATACCGACTTACGTAGTTTCGTTTCGACGATAATCAGAGCTTGTTTCCTAAATGTAGTTCGCGTGATCGCGTGTTATGTTACTCCAAAGGAGTAATTAAATGGTCAACTCCCGTAGCTATATCTGATCAGGATTTGTCTCTGCTTTTAGATAAGCTAGATCGCTAGTATTAGTGGAATAG